GAAAACAAGTTGAATCTAGGTTTGATAGAGGTTGCTACGATTGTGAAAACATGAAAGTTGATATGAGGAGGTATGGAGTTGAATTTGGGAAAGACTTCGGTTACGAGTTTGGGAAGGCAATTAACAACAAGACAAACTAAAGCTGAAGGATGCAAATGATCAGAAGACCATTAATGCACTTACTTACGGTCTAGTTGCATCATAGATTTTTTTTTGCTATAATATTTTGTATTAAATATAATGCCTTGTAACCATGTAGAATAACTTGTAATGAGATCAAATGAATGCTTTATATTATCTAACTATGAATGAAATGAAATGTTATTTGATAAACATATTTGATTAATTAGAAATGCACTATATTATGTCTGCACTATAATGTTTATGCTACCAAAATGATATCACTCTAAGATACTAACTTATCAGTGCCAAAATGAAACCAAAATTGCACTATATTATGTGCCAAAATGATACCAAATTGTACCTCAATGCCAAAAATGCATTGTAATGCTTATGCTACCAAAATGATTATGGTCTAAGATGTTAACTCATCAGTGCCAAATTGATACCAAAATTGTACTATACTATGTGCCAAATGCTACTAAATTTTGCAACTCAATGCTAAAAATGCACTATAATTCTTATGCAACCAAAATGATAGCAATGTAAGATACATGTTTATCAGTGTCAAATTGATACCAAAATTGTCTATATTATGTGCCAAAATGGTACTAAATTGTACGTATGATTTAATAGATATGTAGTAAGTTGTAAGCAGTAACAGATTTTTAAGCAATTTCTAATTTTTCATAGAGTATAACAGTAAAAGGGTATTACATACGAGTCAATATTACAGAACAAAAAAAAAGTGAATTACAGTAAAAGTGCATTGCATAAAGTCAAATAAACACAAAAAAAACACATTATGTGTATTACATAACAAGGTTCCAACTAAGTACATTAGGTGCATTACAAAACATCAAAACAAGGTTCCACTAAGCAAATTATGAAACTACTTTCTTCTTGGTGAACACTCTTTCTTTCTTTTTTGGAGACTTTGTTGCAGCTTGAGAAGCTTGAGTTGGATTCACAATTTGAGAGGCTTGTGTTGTTTGATATTCATCTTCTACTTATGACACAATTGCTTCAATTGATGCATCAATTTCATGCTCAAAATAGTCAAATGTATCATTAGCAGGTAGATTAGTAAGTCCATTAGCAGGTCCATTAGTTGGTCCATTCACTTCTTCATTTGAAAGCTCAAACACTTCTTCATTTGCATTAGTAGGCTTGGTCATGGGTGTTTTTCTCTAAGACGCCAAAAACATAAACATCATAAGTTAGTGCTTCAACATACATGATTCAGTACTCAACAAACACTCAAAAAATAATACACTAACATTTCTCTTTAATGCAGCAAGGTTTTGTTCTTTACTTTGACATTTTCTTGAGTTATGACCAATCTTGTCACAGTTAGTGCACCTATAACTAACACCATGTCTTCTCATTCTAGAACCATTTTCATCACGTTACATAAACCTAAGTTTCCTAGGTCTACCTACACCTTTCTCAAATGATGGTGGAAGCATATCCTCAACATCAACCTTGAGCCATATATCCATTCCAATATGAAATACAAACACAACCACAAGACCCTGTAAATATGAAATACAAATTGTGAGTCGTCAATTAATTCAAACCATATAAATATGGAAATACTAAAATTTACTCATACCTTTTATTGGTATGATATGAATACATATCTTATGTGTTTCCCAATATCTTCCATAAGCAGTTGTAAGAGCCACCTTCAGCTTTCCTTAGTCTTTATTACCACAACACCAAAGACTAAAGGAAAGTATTGATCATTAGAATCCCTAGCCACACCAATAAGTAATTGGCCACCATACTTTGTCTTCAAATGAGACTCATCCATACCGATGAATGGTCTACAACCATTAAGAAACCATTTCTTGCACCCGTCAAAACAGAAGTAGAAACTACCAAACCTTGGTGGAATTGCTGGAATTGGTCTCTCCGTATTAGTTTTCATTGAATTCCCAATATTTTGCTTCCTAAGTTCAGCAGCATAACTCCACAATAAAGAATATTGCTTAGTTGAGTCACCTTCAATAATTTCCTCAGCTATGTGCTTGACCCACCATTCTCTTCCCCTGGTAATCCCAACTGAATATTTAGTCCTAAGTTCAGCCATTAAATCTGAGACTTTAACATTGCTACTTGACTGCTCTTTTCAACTGCAACCTTGGACACCCACTTTCAGTTGGTTGGCTTGTTATTCAAAACCCTAGCATATGTATGTGACCCCGTCCAAGTCTTTATTTGAAAAGTGTGTTTGTCAACCTCTTTACTACAAAGTGCCAAAAACCAACATTTACCACTACATTCCACTCTAACCCTACAACTTTCATTTTTTACAAACCTAATATCTCTACCATTTAAAATAGACCATTCTCGTATAACATCCTTAAAGTCAACAAGAGAGTTAAACTTCATACCTAGTTTGAACTCATAGTCTTTGTTGAGCAAATCCCCTATAAACTTCTCGTATTTGGACGTCCTTTCATTATCACTATCATTTGGGTGATGGGTCCGAGCTACCCAACTCTTCACTTTCATAATCACCATCTTGTTCTACACACTTTGATGAACTTGGTTTTCCACCCATGACCATTGAAGGAGCAGCCAACCTGGTTTTTTTAAGGGACTTTACAGGAAATGAATCTTTGTCAGCTTTAACTTGTATTTATATTTCCTACCACTGATTTCAACCTTATTACCTTCTTCGGATTTATCAACCTCCACAACCACAAAGCAATCATTTTCCTCATTAACTATTTCTTCCTCGCTATCTTCAACTTTGATCCCTAAAGAACCATCATCACTGTTATGCTCATTATCTTCACCAACTTCTACATAATTTGGAGTGAGCGCCTTCTTTGAATTATCTGCAACATTGTGCTCCACCCATATATATCCATCAACATTGTGAGAAATAGAATACTTGACAATTTCTCTGTAACGTGGGTATCATCAGTCAGGTGGAAGAAACCTTCATCAATCCCTTCAATATTTATCCATATTTAGACACCATTATCGTCAAAACCACACTCCTTTACATAGCTCAAAGCTTCAAAATACGGCCATGTGTCTGAATCCTGACCACTAACGAAGTTTCAACTCTTCCTCTATAGAAAACGAAACGTTCACAAACAAACTCTCCATCGTGGTGAAAGATTAAGTTAAACAGTTCTATACCTAACACAATAAAATGGGCATGCAACAACCAACCATAGGTGACACAAAAGGAATGATTAACTGACTACAAAAAGAAAACGTATCTCTTATCTTCACAACTTAACAATGGAGGCGAAGAACAGCTTGGAGTAGACAATGAAGATATGTTATATGCTATTCTAGGTTTGGGGGTAAACGAAATGTCAATGTCATCTAATTATTTAATTTGTTTTAGTAATTAGAAAAAAGAAATTAAAATTTTAAAAATGTATTAATAAGTTATTAAATTACACGTGGAATATTACTTAAATGAATAGTAAAAAAATCTATGCTATTAATAACACGTCGGTCTCTTATTTAACCAGATCCACTTAAGTCTAAAAAAGAGAAATCTTCAAAATACAGGATGAAATCTGTATTTTTTTTTACAGGTCTTTTTTCGAAACCTAACCAAATAGCAAGGGCAAAAGATATATTAACCCATAATATAATAAATGGCAAAATAAATTATGTATTCAACAAGGTTTAAATTTTAAACTTGTGACTCTATTTTTTTCATGTGTCTAAGTTTGTTGCTTTTTTGTTTTATATTATTTTTTGTTCTATGATTTTTTTCTGTATTTTCTTTATTTTTATTAATTTATTTGTTTTATAAGTTGTTTTATTTGTATTAAATATTTATACAAAACTGTAGTATGAGTTTAAATTTAATTTTATAAATAGCTTATGAGATTAGATTGATCATCAAAAATAATAAAAAAGAAATTACTATTAATAAATAGTTTGATTTGCACCAATGTGTAGTATTGTTTACTGTTAAGTTCAGATTCTCACAAGAGAAAACAAAGCTTATTGTGAAGTTCATATTCTAAAAAAAAACTTTTAGGACGAACTCTCACAGAAAAATGGTGTGAAAAAGTATTTCAAATTAGAATAAGATTTTAAAGATAAAAAGATAAATTAGTTCTAAAGTTTATATATTTTTTTAACCAAATATATATTTTTATTAAAATTATCTCCTCTTTCTCCTCCCCTCTTTTAGGCCTTAAGAGCTTAAACAAATTTTTTTAAACAATAATTTTGAATAAATTAAAATAAGCTTAAACTTTTACTCTCATGTGAAGATAGGAGAGAGGAGCTAATAAAAATATTAAAACCTTATAGAGGTGTTGGATTATATTTATATGTTCAAATAACTTTCCTGATGTCTACTATCATGCATATAAACAGTGATTTAACTATTTCATGGCTAGTGAGAAAAATTCATATTCAAATACTTCAATCATTTTTCATTCAAGTGTTTTAATCATTTTGCACTCCAATAATACAACCTCTAAGAATTCAAAATGGATCTCACAAATCACATTTTTAATTTGCATTTCCTTACACAAGGCGTTCAGCTTTTACCTATAATAGTCCTACTAATACTATTTTATCAGAAATGCCAATTAGCATAGCTTAAAATAAGAAATTCCATTCTATCAACTTCACATTCAGTAAATCAACCATACCTGTCTAAAACATAACACAGTAAGAGTTACATATTATTGAAACTAACGGCATTACCAAAAAACCAATAAACGGATTCATAACATATCCATACACGGTAGCTACCTGTAAAATGGTTTATAGAAATATTGTATTCAGAAACCCCCCACCCCCGTCTCGCCATGTTCCACTGAGTCTTATCATGAAGTGCACTAAGGTGCGATGTTGAATCGTTAACTTTAAAGTCAATGACACTAAGCTGTAATCCTAAACCGACCCTTTGCTACTCTTCGAGCAATTACCTTTCTGCCACCCTTGGTTGCCTTCCTGCTCAAGCAAAAGAAAAACCAGGTCATCGATGAGATTACAAATGAGAATCTGCATATATGCAATATGGAAAACTTACCAGTTGTTTTCCGTTTATTCATAAATGGAAATGCCATAAAATTTGATATTGACAAGAAAACGGTTCACTCGATGATGAGGGGCAGGAAAAAGTAACAAAATGAAGCAAGTAGTCCTAGGGTCTAATATCATGCTCGAATTATGATTTATGCCTGGTCATAGTCTGCCACTTATCCACTTTAATTGTTTCGGAAAAAAATCCAGATTATGCTAGAAGCCCTTATTATCAATGTATAATCTATGCCAAAATCAAAGCAACTATAGTTTAGAGACATGCACAACAATATTCAAATGTGGTATTATCATGTTTCAACTTTCAAGAAACAATACGATCTTACTTTCTGTTCATTTAAAAGATTTCAAATATTTTTCATGATTGCTAAGTTCTATTCACCTATGCCCCAAGCCAAGAGACCTAGGCAGTAGAATGTATAACAAAATTGTAATAGGTGCCGAGATTAATTGACAATCTCTTTTAAATCCGTTGTATCAGTGTATTTGATCTTGCATAGCCAGAGTATCCTGAAGCATGGTGATAATCTCCACAGGAATTTAAAGTTTACAAACACCGAGAAACATGTGGAAGAAAATGAAGGTTTAAATAGTCATCTTTTCTTCTCTTTTTTGTTGAAAGAAACAGTGATATATTCTTATTTATACTTAATAAAATACAGCACTAAATGAGACATCGAGATGAAAAGCTGACAGATTTACCGAGCAAAAAAACCATGATTCCTCTTTCTGCGGATAATGCTAGGTTGAAATGTCCTTTTTGGGAATAAAATCATTGGCTCATCAGAAGAAGTATCCCCTGCAGAATAGGGATGGAAATTGCTTAGAATTTCATAAAGCATCATTTTATGTTTAAGCTAGTATGAGAATACACTTTGTAATAGAAATTTAAAGCATGGCAAATCAGATAGCAATTTAAGTATATAAGTAGAGATAAAGTCACTATAGAAGTAAGTTTTGTTAAACTACAAAGCTTACTCTACTTAATAACTTCTATGGGCAATGATTTCATCTATATTCAATAGTTGGTTTGAATGATCTTAGTAAGTAGGTCAAGTCAACATAAATCAATTCATGGTGTAATTCACAAACAAATTAATACTTCAGTTGACAACTTTATGTAAATGTCTAAAATTTGGTGTGCGTAACCAACATAAAAATACCATATCACTAATATTACTGATATATTTAATGGATGGATATCTTAGATGTGTGTATTATGCAAAAAGTTACGAAGAAAATAAGTTTTGACCAAACTTATTCTTAGAGTAAGTGAATTCCCTGTATGGATATATTTGGGGACAGGTATCCTTTTCCATCCCTGAATTCCCCTTTGATGTTCATATTTTCCATTACTATATAGTCAAGCAGGAAACCAAGCTGAAGCAGCAGAATTTTGCATGGTTAAATCCACAAGTTTTTTTCCTTCATACCAGTGTTGTAACTTGTAAAATAGTGGCTACAACAATCAAGGTTGTCAGACTCGAGAGTTTAAATAGAGACTATTACAGTCACAAGCCCCTAACATCAGTTTCTTCTTTCTTCACATAGCACCATTTCTTCTTGTTTCTTCTACCTTCACAATTGTAATACTTCTTCCTTATGTGTCGTATCATATTTTTTCGCATTTGCATGACCAATCATATTTCTTCTTGTGACACCCATTGCAACACAAATGTCTATTTCAGATTGCATATACGTCACAAAGAGTGCATATACGTCACAAAGAGATAAGAAGGGAAAACGGGGATATATATTATATACTACTACTACTACAACAACAACCAAGACTTATCCACTAAGTTGGATCAGCTACATGGATCAAATTACACTTTACACCATAATATTCTATCAAAGACCATGTTTCAATCCATTTCGTTAATCTCAAGATCTTTCTTAATAGTTTCTCTTATAATTTTCTAGGTCTTCCACTACCTCTATTCCACTATCTCTAGTAGTTTGACTCTCTCCATTTGATCTACTCTTCTTACAATACTGTTTACAGGGATTCTTTCTAGATACCCAAACCTTCTATGCCTATTTTCCACCATCTTTTTTACTATAGGTGTTATCCAACATTCTCTCTAATATTGTCATCTTAAATCTTATCTCGTATAGTCTGACTACGCATCCAACGCAAGATCATCTTCTCTGTTACACTTCCTATAGGAATATATCCAACCTTTTAGAAAAAAATACGAATTGGCATCAGAATCACAAGTTGGTCCAAAAGACGAGTTTGTTTGCGAGTCAACTAGATTGAAGGAGCTAGACCCATAAACTTGACTGAATCCACGAGTTGAGTCGTGAGTTTGATAACCATGATGGCGGCACTACAACGTACGTAACGGAATTTGAACAAACCACTATGGTTCTACGACAAGCTATTTAGTATAAAGTGTTGTCAAATAAACTATTGCCAGAAATTAGCCTAGTAAATCAATGAAAAACACAAAATGGTTGTCCCCATTCACCAATAACAACAATGGTAGCATCACAAAATCACAGCATCAGTTATCAATCCAGCATTTAACCAATCAATTTCATTTGAAATAAACTTAAATTGAAAAAAATCTTCATTTTTTCACCAAGCACCCTAAAAAAACAAAACTTTATACCTAACAAAAAAAAAAACCCATCTTTTCAACAAGGATAGAGAAGGTACCATTGGGTAAGAAGAAGCGAAGAGAAGGGAGGCCACATGGGTAGAGAAACCCTTCGTTGGAAATAAGGCTCTTCACTGATTCGGCGTCGTTTTGAGGAAAATTCTGGAGCTTGGAGAGGGATGGGAAAAGGTAAGGTTGATGGTGATTGGAATTGAGAAGTGATTTTGAATTCGATAGTGATAATCGATTCAACAATGCAACTCCATTTCTGATAAGAGATTTTGAAGCCATTTTTTTTATTGGTTTCGTTCACAATATTTGGTAAACCCTAGAAGTAGTGTATCACTGAAGAAAAAGAACGGCAAAATTGATCGGTTATTAATTCGGGTTGGAGTGACTGACCCGGAATTACCCCACCCAATATACTTATTGACGCTAGATTTGTGTTTTCATTTTAGTTTTCTTCATCTTATTTTTGACCCTTAGGGCTGTTTTTGGATTTGAATATTCGAGATCTATATGAGAACTAGACCGGTAGAATTGAATTATTGGACCGACAGACGTGACATGGTACGTAAATGGATAAGTTTTTAATCTGATTTTCGATTCAAGAACTGCCTCAAATATTTAATAAGTAATTGAAGCTAATAATATAAATTTTATTTTTATTTCCTCATTTTTTTCCCTCCCTCCTTCAGTCATTTTCTCCATGTCTCCTTCCTTCTCCGCCTCCGACGACCTCCTCTTCTCTTTCCTCTTTTCGATCAAGCCAAAATGTTTAGATTGTTGAGTGTGATATACTAATTTTATGTGTTATTGAATCGTGAGTGTTGTGATATTATCTATTAGAGACTTAGAATGAATCGTTAAAGGCTTCAAGCCAAAATTTTGTAATGTATTCAACTTATCTTGTTTTTTTATTTTTATTATACTATTTTTTATCTTTACCATGTGTGCATGTTTGAGTTGATGAATCCTTCTTTACCTTGTTTCAATTTTGACCTAATTTTTCATCTAAAATGTTATTTTACATATTCTGACCTAAATATGTATTTATTGTTGTGAGTTCGTAAATGCATGTTTCAAATTTGACCTGAGTTTTGTGTTTCCCATTTGATTAACAGTAATAAAGGGGATGTCTTCTGTTGTTGAGTTTTGTTCTTAATAAAGGTTCGACTAGGGTTTTGAATTGGGGGTTTTTAATAATAAGTGTTTGTATTTTGTTCTTAATAAAGAGTAGGGTTTCTGTTGCTGAGTTTTGTTCTTATTTCGTATTACATTATTGTTTTATTGATATTGTATTGTCCTCCATGTGTTTTCAAGATTCCTCATTAACTCCAACCATAGATGATCTTGTTGATATTAATATGTTGTTTAATGGGATTGGGGAAGAGGATTCAATGAATAGAGGAAACATAGAGATTGGTGAGATGATTGATTTGGAGCTTCTAATTCCAACTGAGAACACTACTCAAAATACTACTACTACTACTTAAAATACTACCACTATTGATGGGTCAATCCCTCTTGGTGACCAAGATCAGAGTTCTAAGAGTCAGAGAAATGTCTTTCATAAAGCTCCTCGTCCCAAAAAAATATGTTGTTCATACTGAAATGCTACTTATCGAACAACCTGGTGGTATTAAGAAGTGGAAGTGCATATGATGTGGTAAGCTTTACACTTATTATGCAAAGTGGAAAAGTACTTTTAACGGTAAGAAACATTTAGAAGCTTGAATTCAGAGAAAGATGAGGTTGAAAGGTAATAATAACAAAGAGGTTGCACAGTCTAGATTAAATGTAGGTGGTAGTGATAGTACTCCTAGTCTGCCAACTTGTGTAACATCCTTCTAAATCAACATATATTTCGCGTATATTTTACACAAATAATTCAAATAATATCACAACAAGGATGTCACATTTTCATATAAACATCATATAAAATATCCTGCTCCGTAACACGGATTTTCAAAACATTTAAAAAAATTATTCCTTTAACATCATCAAATATCAAATTCAAAATCGTCACAGCGGAATCATAGTCTCAACATCTTTATTAAAAATATTTCATAGAGTCTTCCTCACACTTCATTGTTCATGATTCATAAATCAAACAATTTAAATATCATGAAAGGTAACTCATCATCTCAAAGTAAGCAAGAGAACATAACAATTTCAGAACAAATATTCCCAACTCTAATGTTACATATCAGAGCAAGACCTTTTAAAATCAACGGAATTAAACAACGTACATTGAAGTTATCCTCTAAGCTTCAGCAAACTATTCCTGATCACGTGCAAGTTACCTACGTAAAGAGGAAACATTTCCAAGCAGAAAGGGTGAGTAATCATAATCATTATAAAAGACATAAGGAATAAATATAGTAGTCATAACACATTAGCAAGAATCCGCACATCATCAAAACTTCAGGTTATACTCACGCCGTCACTTCATTATTCATTTATGGTTTCGACATATCATTAATCAACAATCATCAGCGTCATTAGTTCACACATTCACAAAGCATAATTAAATCAATCATTATGCAATACCACAAAGAATGCAATGCAACTTCGTTAGACTCATGCACGTGGCATGAAAACTTCACTGATGTCTTAGTCATCGTTTCTCCAAATATCCCCACCAATAAGATCGATTCCCGCTTGAACCAGAGCACGTCATAATATTACACTCAATCTACACTACAGGGTTGAGACCATCATCGTACCAATGTCTTATCACCATCACTATATCAAGCATCCTAACAACATCGCGGGACCGAAATCCTAACATATGCCATGAATGCATGATGCGCAATAATATAATAAAACACGACCACTACTAGTCAAAACGCATCATCATTTATATGATCATCGTATAATTATCTTCGCATGGCATGTATGCACATAAAACATGCAATCATCACTTAATTCATCACAACAACATTATTTACTCCATAATACAACATGGCATCATCATAGCAACAACAATTCATCATATACACATACATCATAATAAACCAATCACAAAATCATCCTATGCATAAAGACATAGGCACTGTAAAACACATCATATGATTCTTTTCATCCTACACACTTATAGTCCATCGCAATATCTTTCTAACGCTTCAAATGGCGCGTCAAACAAAGTCCTGAAATTCAAGTTATGACACTTTCAAAATACTGCCTATTGTCCCTCGCCTAAGGCTCGCCCGACGAAGCAGGTTACTCGCTTGAGGCTTGCCCGCCAAGGACGGGGCGAAAATCCTTCCCTCATACAAAATTCCAGGAGCTTATTTTTCTTTCGCTTCCTTGGCCCAACGAAGCTATTCACTCATTCGGCAAGATCCCTTGCACCTCCCCTTCGTCCGACGAAGCTTGGGCGAGTCATCCACCTCCATACAAATTCCAAGGGCTCTATTTTTCCCCCGGGACCTTCGCTTCCTTCTCGCCCGGCGCATTAAGGATGAAGTTCCTTCGCCCGACAAAGCAGTATATTTATAAACCTTGTACGTGATACAAAACGCCACTTCGAGTGGCGTATCAGCGCCTCGACACGCAACTACCCATATGCCTAGGCCATAATGACCCCTACACCTAGGCCATCATTTCACATTAAATGTTGCGACACGTGGCCCAGGAAGCAAGCGTCGACCGAACCTTTTGACTCCCCGGTAGTCAAGCGAGGAAAACTTTCTCCTTCACGGGCATACCCCTGCAATACAACTACGAGAATCATGGGAACACTCTTCGCGGGCACGCCTTAACTCCCGACCATAATACTTATACAACATCCTCCTTATCCACACAAAATTCCTCGAACGATACAGATCAGCGAGGAAGATTTATAATCTAAATGATCACATCCCCCTTTTCTTGCATATATTGGACTGAAAGCAGATGCTCGCGTCCCTATCGCCCATGCTCGAGATAAATGACAAAGTCTTGAAGGTCACTATGGAGATCCTCAACGCCACAACCTCCTCGATGCTCGAGTAGACCTAAAAGTCATAACTCATCTACTTAGGAGAAATGACTTGGGGGCTCGTGTTCTGGACTGGTCCTGTGCTTGATCTACCGTCGGGCAAGGCCCATCCTAACTCTACAGCGAAGAAGGCCTAACAACCTGTTGTGGACTAGACTTACACTTGGTCCTTCATTGGACAGGGCCAGCCCAACGCTGCTACGAGGAAGGCCCAATAAAGTGTCCCAGATAGCTATGATAGTTGGGGAACGTCTCCTTCTCGTTCTCGTCAAGGACGTCTTCCCCATATGCATGTCGAGGACACGTGGCTAACGAATATCTGAATATCACAGAGTCACCTTGTCCCCGTAAAGAATAGGTCTCCTACATCCTAAGATCGCGAGGCAATCCACCAGGATAGAGACCACGTACTGGTCTCCTCTATCCATGTAGGATCCTGGCAGTCTCCATTTTGGACTGGGAATCCAGCCCAAAATGGGGACTTTGACCCAACGCTAGGGGCTATAAATACCCTATTTTACTAGAGGATTAGGTATTCAATTCTACTCACTTACACTATGTGCTTGCCCTCCTTTACTATGAACCTTACTTTGGCATCGGAGTACCTTCCGGGTACACCCCCTCATTCGCTTCAACAACCGCATAAGTCCAAGTGTTGCAGGCCACTGAAGATCCTTCTGATCTCGGTAAGATCAATTTCAGATAAATCTTAGGAATTTTTAATGTCCACAACAATGTGATCAAACTTGGAAGGTGGAACTCTTAGAACCTTCTCCACTTTCTGCAGTTCAAATATCTTCTCTCCACACAACTTCATTTGATTGATCAAAGCCACCAATCTTGAGAAGAACTCTGTAATTATTTCATAATCATTCATTTGCCTATTCTCATATTGTTTCCTCTAGGATTGCACCCTGACCTTCTTTATTTTTTCATCCTCTATACAACTTCTCGAGAGTATCTCATACATCTTTGACTGTTTCTTACTCATTTATCTTCTAAAAAACATTTGAATCCACATACTAGTGGATCAAGAATAAGTCTTTTCATTCATTTTTTTCTCATTTCAAGATGAGTAGTTCTTGCGCCTTAGAGGTAGACACCAATATTATTAAGTTGAACATCATCACCAAAATTCAATGTTTTGTATGTAAATTTATAGAGATTATTACCATTTCGTCTACAAATGAAAAAAATTTCCATGTCACATCTTGATGTCATTTCATCTTATTATTCGACTTAGGTGTACAAATCTATATTAAAAAAAACTTACAAATCAGCAAAAACAATTTCAATGAATTTCCCC